AGAGTGTTGTTCAGCATGGGGGTGAGTAGAAAATGAAGGCTAATCATGTTTTGGGTGTACTATTCCTTTAAGGACTAGAGATGGAGACCTCTGATCCACACTAACCGTCTTACTCCACGATTATAGCAGATACTGTGGTACCTGCACTGTCTGCCCCTCCTTATTTGTTTTATTTTTTGTGAGACTTAAATAGGATCATTGTTCCAACGTCATCTGTTTTCTGCCCCCCAGTGGTTTGGGAAGTTTGTCTACTACCCCTTGTTTTTGCAAGGCCAAGAAATCACTACTACTTTATCGTCTTCATGAACTCCTATAACTCCTAAAGTATTATCTTTTTTAGGTTTCATTGATTGTTTTTGCATGAATCTGTCCCACCTGCATTTTTATGCTCTGTGGAACTCCAAACTGGTTTTCCAGTGCGATTAACAGATCTTATTTAGCATTTTCCCTTAAAGCAAATGTGTTTTACTTTGTAACTGCGCCTCTCTGCCTTTCAGACACATGAAATTGCTGCTGAATTGCCTGTCTGACTAAAATAGACCCGCGGTCAATCTTAGAAAGAAGAAACTAGTCAAGAATAAAACAGATAAAAAGAAAAAGTCCTGGCATCTGACATTTAAAATTATGCAATAGAAAAACCAAAATGTAAAGTTATATGGGAATTCTGGTATTCAAAGGCACACCATGGACTTTGTGACCTAAAGAATTGACGCATATTAGTCATTTTCAATGATTCCTCAGGCCAATATATACATGTAGTGCTTGACACAATCAATACTACGAGCGAGGCTCCCCTCTTGAAATGCCGACTATGCAACTTTGGAGTTGTCATACCGTCATTGGCCAGGTCATGTGACCTGAAAGAACGCATCGCTTTACGGCCACAGGCTCTTATATCGTCATGGAGCTAAAGCTTCTGCTCTACTATTTTTCCACCTCGACTAATGGTCATGGCTGACGCAAGGAAAATGTTTAAAACTTCTGAGGAGGCTAAAAAGAAAAAACAGGAAAGGGATTGTGAGCGAGGAAAAAACAAGAGTCCCTCTTGGAAACGGGTTTGTTGGCGCAGGCTAAAAGAAGTAGCCTGATGTAAAAACAATTCTTTTCTCAACTTTATTATTAGACTGGTAAGTTAACACTTTGCTCCTAGTATACAGTCATATATCTTTTTTTGTTATTTTCAATGTTTAGTAGAAGCTAAACACGGGCAGAGAAAGCTAGCAGGAAACAAACAAAAACTACAGGGGGCCCTAAACGTAAAAGTTACAGGTCTAGCACCCTCTAGTGGCCAAATGTTACATGGTGCGCCTTTAAGGACTTGAAAAAGATAATTTAACCTCTCAAACTGACCCGTTTTAAGGCATTGACAATTAATAACTCAGAATGCAAAGAAATTACAGCGGTAAAATGTTAACCAATATACGGTAGACATGTTGGACATCATTGGATAACTTAGATTCTCCACAATTCAACCACAAAGTGCATTTTGTGGACACAGCGAGCACCAAAGCACAATTAACACAGATATAGCAGCATGTCAAAATGTAAAAATGAAAAAGCAGCCACAACAAGCAATCATGTCTTTATTACTGCTGTTCAAAAAGACCTATTATTTTCGAGAATAAAAAAAAACAACTTTGAGTCATGTTTGAACTGATGCAGCTTAGGCTGTGTTTTACTCACCCAATTTTCATGTATATATTCAGAAACTAGAGGGTGTTAACTTTCTAATAATGTTCCTAAGTTATTTGCTTTTCCATTTGGGTTTGCAAAATAGGTGAGGTAGATAAATAATGTAACTGAAAAAGAAGAAAAACAATTCCAGCTTAAAAGAAAAACAAAGCAGTTTACCTTTTGACATCATACGTATTAAACCTGTAAAACACTGTAATATTTACTCCTTACCAGAGGAGGGTAGAAACTAGTTACATTTACAACAACAATGTACTTTTAGTACAACAGTTGCACTTTCCCTTACTGTTACTTAAAAAAATAATATTCTAAAAAAAAAAATGTTCTTAAAAACAAATTCTGGTTATCCTACCCACTATGACTGACTTCAGCTATTTAGATATCAGAAGGAAATACAGTAAACAGGAGATATCGCAGCTGGAGGTTCTTCAATTTTTCCTGACATATATGCAATATGTACTAAAGAATAGTTTTATACGTTTATGTGAAAAAGTGATGTTCAGCCCAAATATCTTATTTTGCAAACATGTTATTTGTATTTTATTTACCTTTTTTTTTGGATGAAGAGACCAGAATTTGCTTATAACCATCTGTTTGATGACATCATTAAACAATAAATCAGAAGCCAACAATTACTGAGTACTTAAGTAGCCATTTTTTATCCAGTACTTTCACTGGAGTAATTTCTTGATTACTTTTACTCAAGTAATAATATGTTAAAGTAGTGCTACTTTTACTTGAGTAAATCTTTGACTACACTACCTACAAAAAAAAAAAGAATAAATTAAGACTTTTGGGCATTAAAATAATCATGAAATTATGTTTTTTTCTAGTAACTGTAACCAGGTAAATGTAACTAGCTAAAACAACCTCTGCTAATGAGCAGGAAACACTGCAAAGACAATTACTCTGCAACTAGCTGGACTCGTATATATTGTTTTTCCCCCAACTGGCAACATGAACTGATTTTATTTATAATCTAAGAGTCTATATTTTGGCTCCGCAAACATTCTGCTAGATGATTGGATACTTGCCGATACCGATACCACCATTTTAGTGCTGGATCGGTGCCCCGACCGACGCTGGTATTGCTATCGGCGCAACACAAAAAAAAACTGAAGTTATTTTTAACCTGGTGGCAAACTGCGTTTGTCAAGAGAAACAAGTGTTATCTTCTATTGTATTTTGCAGCTGCTGCTGAGAGGATTTGAGACTTTTTTCTGCAAGAGGTAAAGGTGAGAAAAGCTCCTCTTATCTCAAGTTTATTTCCATATGCATTAAATAGAATCACTTTTACTAGTCTCACGGTTTATTGGCTTTATTTAATTTTGCTAAGCTATTCTGTGCAATAATAAAGTTTTAGTCATAACCATGAATTTTAACACATTGCTTCCATCACCATTAGCAAGTAAAAAAAAACCCTACAGATGTTCCAGTATGGCGCTATATGCTATCTAGTGATGTAAACAGGTTTAAAGACCCGTCACCTCTTTCACTCTCTAAATTGCGGTTGCAGAAGGTAAACCGCTGTGTCACAGCTGTCGGAAATTTGTTCTTTTCAATATTCTTGAAAGTTTCTGATTTGGCCTGAGGCATTTTGGAGAAAGAGCAGCAAGGCGAGACACACAAAGGTAGAGGCAGAGCAACCTGTGAGTCAGGAGGTGAGCAGGTGTTCAAACAAAGCGTCTGAGCTTTCATCAACCCACCACCTCTATATCCCAGGTGGAATGACAGAACACACACACACACACACACACACACACACACTCAAACACCTGGAAGTGCAGACAAAGACCCTGCATGGAAAAGTACAGAGTACTTGCAAAGGTGATTTTGCTTTTGGGTAATTTTAAAAAGCTATTCCCGGCAAAGTAATGTTTAGAAGATTGTAAAAATGAAGTAAGAAGAAGTAGAGAAAGTAATTAGCACATTTCTTTACCCAGAACTTGATCAAATAGAATGCGTTCTGTGGGCCCTTGCTGAAAAGCTCCTTCAATCCGCCCTTCTTCTCGGGGAACTTGTCGTAGATTTGCCTGATGTCCACACACTCCAGCAGCGGGTCGCTGTAGCTCGGGCTGCTCTGGCTGATGTGCACAAACAGGTGCTTATTGTACTGCAAAATATTAAAAAAATAAAGGAAAAATTATGAGTTGGAAAATTTTCTCACATCCATCATTTCTCCAAAAAATCTCTCTGCAACATAAACAAAATGTGTGAAAACAATCTACCAGGAAGGTTTTCAGTTTCTAAGTAATACACATGTATTACTGTTAATGATGATCTTATTAATATATAAAAAATGATGCAACAATCAGACAGCTAGTGTTCGAAATCTGCCTTTTCTCCTCTCAGTTGGTTCATGTCTGATAATTGTTCGGAAAAACAGAGATGCTGTTTTCTAGTGATGCAAAAATAAAAATAAACAGAGATAATTTAATCTATGGAGTTAACTCTGTTCCATTATTGTTGAAAGCATTAAAAAAAAAACTTTGTAAATGGAAATTTGAAAAAAAGAAATGCAACTTGAGAAATTAAAGTTTAGAAAAATCAGTGAATCAAAAAAGGTTTTGAGAGAAATGATTGACATTTTCTGAGGAAAGGCAAGTTTATTTCTAAAGCACAATTTAGTACAAAGACAATTCAAAGTACTTTACATGAATTAGGTAATGAAATAGAAGGAGAAAAAAAAGTAGAATAAAGCAAATAAAGACCTCCGGGTCCCTGAGCAGGTGAAGGGGATCAAACCGGATACTTACAACCTGCTCAGCGAACAAGCTCACTATTCTAACCACTAGGCCAACACCCCCCATCTATTGGTCTATCTCTACAATAAGAGCAACCGTCTGTATGTGTTCTCTAAAATGCATTTGAAAAAAGACAAACATGTAAAGAAAAAAATATATACATATCCATATAAAGAAGTAAAAAGAGAAATAAAGTTTGGAAAAAATGTTGTTTTTTTAAATACTAACAAATATTTAAAATAAAATTTGAGGAAACATAAAAGTTCCTCTAAAAATGTTTTTCGATTAGGACCTTTTAAAAATGATTGCATTTTTTAAATTTCCATTTAGAAAATATTATTTGCTTGCAACAACGAGACAAACTCCACTCTGCAGTGGTTCGTTTTTTGTTTGTTTTAACGCTACTCTCTTTATGCAGAAAAATACTAAACATCCTCCTTTTAAAGCCAAGTTTGATCCAAATCAGTGTCAGTAGATAAGAGTTCAAAGAAAACCAGAAGTCCTTATCTCTACAACAAACATCTGTTCTATGACAGACCCCCCATTCACAGTCCCTCCATCTGTATCCTTTAAATACTCAGTCACCTTTCTCCCAAACATGTCAGATCCATTTACCCCAGCTTCGGTGGCTCTAAAATGTCTGACCACGTTTTATTTTAAGCTTTACTCCAACAATCAGAATATAACATTTCATTTCACTAAAGCTTTGTGCTGCAAACCATTCCAGCTTGAAAATAAAACTTTTTCCTAGTTTACCTTTTGACATCAAACATATTAAATCAGAATAATATCGTAATATTTACTCCTTACCAGAGGAGGGTAAAAGCTAAGTTACATTTATTTAAATCAGAGGTCTGGCTAATCCCGACCCAACCTGATTTAACACATTTATAAATAAAGCCTACAGCCTCCGCTGTTCCTCCCGACTTCCTCGGAGCTCGAGGAGAACATGCTCTATATTATCATTAAATTCAGGAACAAAACATACGGAAATGAACGCTTAATTTAATATGACATATTTAAAAAATCTCCACCATCATCCAGCCAGCATACGTTCAGTTTCTGCCCAAATATTTTCATTTTGTTGTGGATTTTTGTAACAGTGATAACTAGGACCATGCATGGTTTGTATGAACTATGTTTGCTCTGCTTCCAAACTCATCATGTTTTCATCCAGACCTGCGAGGAGAAGTTTCTTCTGCAGTTGTGAGAGGCGCTCTTGGGCGTTTTGACTGGATTTGATTAAACTTTTAAGCCTCTTAGTATAAAATAAATATTTTGCTGAAGATGAGAAATGTGGTTCCTGGTATGTTGAAGTACTAATAGTTTGCATCCAATTATTTAAACAAAACGGTCTTAGTTTTTGGGAATATATAAGCTCATGAAGGAGCCTGGAATAGCTTGAGAATGACTTTGTCTACATTTAAACCCAGGTTTAAGCCTTGCAGGGCAGCCTAAAGCCCACTGCTCTCATTAAGCCAGAAAAAAGAAAGAAAAAATAACAAACGGTCAGTTCAGGTGTTTTATAAAATATGAGTCAGGAAACTGTCTATATATCAAACTTAACGATTGTTGCTCTCTACTTCAAAAAACATTTTAGATTTTAAAATGGAAAAAAAAATAGATCTTTAATTGGTCCCCCTGATCAAAATAAAATTATAAAAAAAAAAACAACATACTTTTAGGAGTAGTTTTACTTTCCCTTACTGTTATTTAAGTAATAATCTTATGAGAGAATCAGCAAATTTCTGGTCACTCTACTCACTACGAATAACTTGAGTTACTCATAGTTAAACAGTAGATTTCACACCTGGAGGTTCTTTATCTTGTCCTGGCTTATATGCATTAAGTACTGAAGAACGGTTTTATGCATTTATGTGGAAAAGTGCTTGATCTGCCCAGATTTCTTATTTTGTAATCATGTTATTCCTATTTTTTTTTTTTACATTGTTTTATTACTTTGAAAGACTATTTTCTTATGACTGTCTGTTTGATGACATCATTTTGAACGATAAACCAGAGGTCACAGCCGACAATTTACTCCAGTTGGGTTGGCTCTAGAATCAAAGTCTATGTCTGACCACCAGAGGCGTAGCCAGAAATTTTTTAGAAGGGTGGCCAGGCAATAACTAATGTACACTGAAGGGGGGGCGAAAGTTGATAGGCACCAGAAACTCAGGGTCAATCTCCACTGTCCTAAGAGGAGAATTAACGAGCAAAACATCCATATTTTCTAAATAAAGACAAACTATACTTTCCTACAGCCTTTGGTAAGAAATAGATGGATATATTTAAACATAAAAAGGTGTAGTGGATAAAACTCTTTCAGTTTTGAGTTCTGTGGCGTAAATCTTTTACATCCTCATTACTTACCTACTTTAATCAATAAACATTCTGCATAAAATTGATATTTACAAGCACTGATATCTACATGAATTGAGTATTTGATAAGTTCTGTACTGATCTTTGATGTTAGTATATTGATGTGCATAATTAACCACAAAAAATGTAAATGTTTTGAATATTCCACTTGAGAGTATTACTGCTGCCACCATCTGTATTAGAGGGAACAAATGGTAGGGGTGGCCACAGGGGTGGCCAATGATTGGCCCCCCATCTAGATCCGCCCCTGCTGACCCCACCTCAGTAGAATTGGGAAACTGGCTGGGAAACCAGTGTCCTGCTCTAATTACTGTCGTGCTATCTACTCTATCAGCAACACTGACCTACAATTTGTGTTTTTTCCAGTTTTAGGCATTCAGACACTAAATGACTGTATTCACCACCTTCATTAGGATACAAACTAACAGACAGTTAATACCTAAAACCTTCAAAACACTTCTAAACACGGCGGCTATTATAGACCGACCTGATTTTCTAGTTGTGCTTCTGACTGAAAACTCTGAAAGTCTGACATTTGAGAAGAAAGAGAGCGAGTGCCTATTAGCATCCAAAGCCACCCATCAATCCATCCATTGTATAAATCCACTTATCCGTGTAGGACTGGGTGGGTAGGGTCCATCACAATGCGACTCAGAGAGAGGACTGTCCATACAGGCGTACACGCAAGGACCATGGAGGAAGACCAATTAAGCTCTCAGCCGGGTTTTTAGTCAGTGGGAAGATGAACTAAGTATGCACAGGGAAAGAGAGGGACGCCAGGCTTTGACTTAAACTCAGGATATTCTAGATTAGGTTAAAATTAAGATTAAAATGATTAATTGTGATTTATAGATCAGTATAATGCCAAATTTGTTAATTGCATTAAAAAAATAATGAATACAGCAGAAATTAAGACAAAGCTCTAAAAAGAATATAGAAAATTTCTCTTTACCATTAAAAATCTCTTTGGATTATATATATATATATTTTATGTATATGTTGTATATTTACAATATGACTTTGCCTCAAAAAATTTATTTTTTAAAGTACTTAATTTATACTCGGTAAATATTTAATTTTCTGAAATTATTTATTTTCAGATTGATGGATGAACCAAAAAAATGTTGGATAGATGAATCTTTCCCTAGAAGAATGGACAGCTGCAGCTCTACTCTTGTTTCAGGCAGCAGAGCTTGAAGGAGGAATGACCGCAGTGACCATTGCAGCGTTGATGAGCCCTGAATTCAACTGGATGTTGACTCAGACTTAGACAGATTTTATTATCTTTGCACACAGAGTGTATGCAAAAATAAATTTCGTTCAGTACAGCTCTCAAGACATTTTCATTTTTAAAGTGCAGCTTTGATAAAGGTAAGCAGCAATGATAAATGTAAACATATGACTAAATATTAGTTAAAGTCCTTTTTTTTTTTTTTTAATCCAATTTTATATTACAATCAGCAGTCTAATGGCAGCGGGCAAGATACTGTTCTGGAATCAGTTGGACCTGCATTGGATGCTTCGAAGTCTCTTCCCCAAAGGCAGCAGGGAGAACAGTCCATGTCGGGGGTGTAAGGGGTCATTTATAAGGTTACGGTCTCGGGACACGCAGCGCTGGAATGAAATGTCTTTAATGGAGGGAAGCTGAGTTGTCTTCTGGATTTTATCTGCTACCTTCGCATTTATTTCAAACAATGTATATTCTTGTTTGTATTTAGACTGCTGTAGTCACGCTTGTCACTGCCCAATCCTTCCCGGAAGCACGATCCGTCCTGCACATGCGCATACAGATATACATATACGGGTGTCCATAAGTAATGTAAT